TGCATAACCAGTAGCAGCTGCATCCAGATGCTCAGCCTCTATAGTAGAAGTGGTCAACGCCCTCTCTAGTGGATCTTCTGGACTCATCTCTTGGAAGATCTGCTCAGCAAGGTTGGTAAAAACACCCACATCGAATGTTTGTCCATCTATGGTTGGCCTCTTCATCAGCTTGTCCATTTCGAAATTCATCACCAAGTCACCAACATTTAACTTAATTCTTCCCTTCCTGACATCTATAATAGCTCCTACAGGGGCCAGGAAAGGTCTGCCAAGAATCAGAGGATCTTTGGGTTCTTCTCCATACTCCAGAACCACAAAATCAGTAGGAATCATACAATCTTCTACTTTGATAGGCACATCCTCTATAACACTTCTAGGAATTCTGATTGATCTATCAGCTAGGACAAGAGATATCCTGGTAGCTTTAAAATCGGTCATCTCTAAACTCTTGGCAACAGAATGAGGCATCAGGTTCACACTAGAACCAAGATCACATAATGATCTCTCAAACCTGTCTCAAAATATGGTTCAGTCGAATACAAAGATCCCAGGATCTGAAAGCTTCTCAGGTACCCTGTTCTGAATCACTGCACTGACCTGTTCATTGATCATCATGGCTCCTTGTTCTAGACTCAAGTTGTTGGTGACCATCCTCTTCACTTATCTCATAAAAACAGGAGTAATCCTCACAGCATCAATCAAAGAAATCTCAATAACCAGTTTGTCCATGTTGTCCTTGCATTTAGCATCTTCAAGCTCATGTTTAGACTTCTTAGGATGCTTAGGATGGGGTATCTTAGGCTTATACACCGTTTCCTTAGCATTGTTTGAAATCTCAGGCAAAACAGCTGTGTTTCGTGGTTAGTGACGAGCGTCACCCTCCTGGTGGCGATCGTCACTGATCGGGGATGAATTCGCGTCGAGCCTTTCTAAAGTGGGTGACGAGCGACACTCCTCAGGGGTGACGATCGTCACTCGTTCATTCTCAGCAGGAATTTCATCATCTTCAAAACTTTCAAGTCCCATGAACTGCTCTGTACTCAAACCCTTATGCAACATTGGTTGAAGATTTCTTCCACTCCTTAATGTGATGGCATTCACATAGTGTTTATGGTTAGCATCAGTCCTTCCAGTAAGGAATCCTTCTTGTCTCTGAACTGCTCCTGCAGTTTGAGCAACCTGAACATCCAGCTTCTTCATGTGAGAGTCCAGACTCTCAATTTTTCCTTTCAGGTCCTGATACAGCGAATCTATCTTGCCATTGAAGTCCACTATCATTTTCTGGTGTCCTTCTAGGATATGCTTCAGCATAGCTTCCCTCTTGTTGTCTTATGGAGGTGCAGTTTGGTAGGAAGAAGAACCATAATTCATGTTGAAGTTGTTGCTGTTCTGGTAAGGCTTCTGAAACTCAGTCTTCTGGAATTGTGAAGGTACTCTTCTGATTGTTGCTGTTGTAACCTCTGTTCCACTGCTGATTCTCAAACCTTTGACCCTGAAATCTTCCAAGTTAACATCCTCCTGCTCAATCTCCTCTGGATTTTTGAAAGTCTCCACTTCTGCAGCAAATTGGACTGATTTTTTTCCCATCACAAGGCTATGCATACTGTCCAGCTTAGCCTTAACCTCAACCATCTAGTTCCCATCATTCAAACCAGCCTGTTTCATCTTTTAAAAATCAGCATTCTTGGTGCTGTTACTGCTTGCCTAGTTCTCAATCAGAGTTATTGCAACATTAGGAAGGTTTGTGTTGAAGTTCCCACTACTAGCAGCATCCAACGCCATCTGATACTTTTAGTCCACTCTTCTAAAGAAAATTCCAAGCAGCTGCACCTTATTGAAATCATGATGAGGACAATCTCTCTGATAAGACTTAAATCTCACCAGGAAGCTTTAAAAGCAATTTTCGTCCTAAAGTCTTCTGATCTAGCATCATCATAGAAGTTGTTCAGGAAGGCGTTTTTGGTGTCTTTCCAAGTGGTCAGCGATCCAGGCTCCAGTTGCTTCAGCCAATAAGCTGCATCTCCTCCAAGAGAATAAGGAAACAACTTGCAAAACAGGAAATCATTGCTAACTCCATTAGCCTTGACACTTGAAGCCAAATCCTCAAACCTCTCTATGTGATCCATAGGATGCTCATGTGGTAAGCCATGAAAGGGATGCTGACCCACAAGCTGAAAATAAGCAGGCTTGAGCTCAAAATCGTTTCTCTGAAAAGCAGGAGGGCGGATTGCAGCTCTGTTGGCATAAAACTGGTCAGGTCTATTGTAATCTCCTAGAGTCCTCTGAACAAAACGCCCAGCAGCGTTTCCAGCAGCAGCGACTCCAACCTCATTCGCCACTTGTTCAACTATGACATTCCCATTCTGATCTAGTTTCTGCCCTTCTTCATTCCTCTTGTTTCCATCTCTGTCAACCAAGTGACCCTCTACATCTTCGACCAAGACAAGTGGAGCAACTATTGTAGACTGTTTCTTAGCTTTCCTGATGGTCCTTTCCAGCTTAGCTAGTTCGTCAATGCCCAAAGTCATAAGCTCCTTCTCTTTGTTGCTTCTGGTACTGCGATTAGGCATACACCTGAAACCAGCACAAAGAAAAGTAGCAGAAATTTAGTAAACAAATTGAAACTTAGACAAAATCTTAATACTAAAAATCGATAGACAGCTATTACTCCCCGGCAACGGCGCCAAAAACTTGATAGGGCTCAGGTTTTAGCCAATTAATTTAGTACCGCAAGTGCATAGCAAAGCAGTTGTACTATAAAAGATTATCGAATCCCAATGGAGTAAGTTAACTACACTATAGAATTCAGGTTCGGATTAAGCTAAGCAGTAAATAATGAATGTAATGCAAAATAACTAAAGTAATGAAAGCATGCGAAATTTGTTGATTGATCTAAGTTTAGAAAACTAAAGCCGCTAAGTCAGGATAATTCGCAGGTTGAATCCGAGAATGTAGAATGCATGCACTCAAGAATGAATTAAAACCGTCTAGAACTTGAAACACAAAGATATAACTAATCAATTCTCATTGCAGAAGTTATCTATGCCAAAATCACAGAATTTTACATCTCTTTGCATATTCTACCAATCTAAACATGCAGTAATGATCATGTTCAATTGTTCACAAAACTCCTAAGTCAAAACTCTTTGCAAATAGATGTTTTGCTCATCTCATACTAGTTTAGGTGATTAACAATGTTCTCACATCTATTAAACAATCTAGGGTTTCAAAATCTAGATGTTAGTCTCAGAAATCGATATGAATGCAAGCACAGATGAAGAACCAATGGACTTTCCTAACAGTTTTGCAATTCTACAAACTCTTCGCCAACCTTTCAAAAATCCTAACGTAACTAATAGACTACTCAGACATAATTATGAAAACACAAAGCATAGCTGAATAAAACTGCATTAAAAGAATAGATTATAAGATAAAAAAGTTCGAAATGTTCTCTAAAAGAGTACATGATCTATCTCTCTAAAAGCTCTAAAAAAATCTCTCCCTAAAGCTCTCTGAATTCTAAGAGCCAAGATAAAAACCAAAAATGGTAGAAAAGCTAATATATACAAGCTAAAATACGAGTTGTGACACTTTTATAAATAGTGGAACTTCTGGACCAAAATGCAATATCTTTTCCATCTTTTAAATAAACGTCGCGATTCTCTTCAGATGCGGATGACGAGTGTCACCCTTAAGTTGTGACGATCGTCACCAATTCCATTTAACGCCTTCTGAGTTGCAAATTTCGGAGTTGATTCTTGCAATAATCCAAAAAGCTCCAAAACCTCCAATTGTGCTCGAGTGATGCTATAACCTGCAAATACTCTACTAGAACTCTAAAAAGACTAAAAAAACTCAATAAAAAGAATTTATACCATAATTAAAAACATAAAAACCATAATATCAACAATATAAATTGTGCATAATCGATTTACAACCTAATACTAATTAGCATAATTTAACCATTTATAATTCATTTTATGGCGGAATTATTTAAAGTGTCTTTAACTGAGTAGTTTATACGATTAAATAGATTATTTATAGAATCTTAAAATATAAAAGATTATCTATATAAACATCTGAAAAAACTATGTACATCTTTCACAATTAGGATTACACTTAATATTTCTATTATGTAGATGGTGTATGAACGATTTATTCGATACTATTAAACATAAAAAAATATCAATCATTTATAATTTAATTTTTGGCGGCAATATTTAATTTTTTTAACAGAGTAGTTTATATCGTTAAATAGTTTATTTATAGTTTCTTTTTTTGGTAAATGTTTATTTATAGTTTCTTAAAACATAATAGATTATTTACATAAATTTTCGAAAAAGTCATAATATAAATATAAACTAAATATTTCACACACAGTGTCATGAATAATCGAAATACAATATGTCAACATAGGTAAATTGTTTTTGATTTCATATGTATTGTTTGTTTGGTAAGTTCTTTAGACTCCGATTGGTAACACATTTTTTATATTGCGGAATTGCGGAATGGCGGAAAAATGAATTGTGGAATTGCGAAACTTTTTTTAATACGATTGGATAAATTATGGCAGAATTGCAGAATTGCAGAATATACTTATTGAAAATATTCTGCTTTTTACTATATATTATAAAAAATAAAATATTAGTAATTCAGTCAATTATTATAAAATGATATAATTTTAATTATAACTTTTTAATAATTTTTTTTTCATAAAAAAATATTGCAAATCTTAAATAATAGATATAACTTTATCATTAAATAATTTTTTGTAACACTAAATTATTTATTTATATTTATTTAAATAATAAAATATAATTGAATAATATAAACATTGATTCCGCAAATAATCTACTCTAAACCCGCTTTTCCACTTAATAAAGATTTCTTTGTATTTTCTGTAAGAAAAATATAATTCCGTAGATCTTGCATTTTTGCGTTTTTTCGCATGTTTTTTTAATTGACAAAATTTCATGTATTTTTGGGTTTTTCCACCATTACACCCTTCCACCAGTGTTACACAATTCAGATTTGTGTTCATAAAGGTGAAGATAAGATGATTAAATTTCAGTGACTAATTATCTGGCTGAAGAGAGAAAAAACATATACAGATATGTATAGAGAGATATAGAGATAGAGATAGAGAGAGAGAGAGAGTAAGGCAAAGGACAGGTTTTTTTGTTTGTTTGGTGTTGAGTTCGTCTTCTCTCTGTCCTCTCTTTTTCCTCATTCCTCTCGAGGTCATTACAACTTCCAACGATTAGAGAGAGGAGAGAGATAAACAACAAACTTTAATTTCAAAAATCCTCTGAGAATCTCTGCTTCGGTTAAACGTTTTTGAGGATCTCACCGGAAGGAAGAAAGCTAGGGTTTTTGAAGGATGTTATGCGCGAATTGTAGCTGGATATTTGTTCAGTAATTGAAGCGAGAGAGGGCTGAACGAAAAAATGGATTTAGATTCGTCTATGGTACCAGAGGAGAATGATCAAGATCCTGCGTCTCTGAATCATCCAATGGATAAGGAGGTTTCCTCAGAATCGCCGGAGGAGGATACCGGATCCGAATCGGCGCCTTTGACTCCTACAGCGGCGAATCCTCCTCCTCCGACAGCTCAACAACAATCGCCGGTGGTTGGTCCGAGGTGTGCGCCGACGTATTCGGTGGTGAATGCTATATTGGAGAAGAAAGAAGACGGGCCTGGACCTAGATGTGGTCACACTTTGACGGCGGTTCCTGCCGTTGGTGATGAGGGGACGTCTTGTTACATTGGCCCTCGTCTCATCTTGTTCGGTGGCGCAACGGCTCTTGAGGGCAATTCAGGAGGAACAGGAACTCCAACTTCAGCTGGAAGTGCCGGCATTCGTACGTTTCTCACAAGACTGCTTTTTTCTCATCATTTCTAGTTTCGTAGACTCTTTTGTCAATTGTCATCTGAGATTTGTTGAAGCAATAGTTGTTGATGTTTGATCACTGTTTTGCTATCAGTTCACTGTGTATTGTATGCTTCAAGTCTTGGTTTTTAGACTTGCCCTGCTGTAGTTTTGATGGTGATTAGAGTGATGTTTCATATGAGATTGGGAGAAACAGTAATTGATGTTAGATTGCGGTTTTGCCATCAGTTCTCTGTGGATTGTATGCTTCAAGTCTTGGTTTTTAGACTTGCTCTGTTGTAGATTTGATAATTTAGCGTTAATGTTTCATATGCAGGGCTTGCTGGTGCGACCGCTGATGTGCATTGTTATGATGTCCTTACTAATAAATGGTCGAGGTGAGCATAAGTGATGAGTTTTGTTGTCTGGTGAATTGTTATTTAGTGTGAAAGCGATTAATCTGATTGGAATAATGGTTGTCAGGCTTACACCATATGGAGACCCACCTAGCCCAAGAGCTGCGCATGTTGCTACTGCTGTTGGGACCATGGTAGTTATTCAGGTAGAGGAGAAGCTATGTAACTGTGTCTTGTAATGGATCTTAGGTTACGGTTTTAGGTCAGCAATGAATCTGATACCGAGTTGTCTCTGTGGCGCAGGGTGGAATAGGTCCTGCTGGTTTGTCAGCTGAGGATCTTCACGTTCTTGATCTTACTCAACAAAGGCCACGATGGCACAGGTTCGGATACTTAAACCTGCTCCTTGTGGTTGCTAGTTCGTTCTGAAAATTCATTAGTTCGTCGCTTGATTTGGAATATACTCTTCATATCCAGGGTTGTTGTTCAGGGTCCTGGACCGGGACCGCGTTATGGACATGTCATGGCATTGGTAGGACAGAGGTATCTCATGGCAATTGGTGGAAATGATGGTAAGCAGTTTTACTCGCGAGCTCACTAAAAGTCTATTTATATTCTCCTTAAATAGCTCTTTTTCACTTAATTTCCTTAAACTGCTAGGAAAACGTCCATTAGCTGATGTATGGGCTTTGGACACTGCTGCAAAACCTTATGAATGGCGTAAGCTGGAACCGGAAGGGGACGGTCCACCTCCATGCATGTAATTTTGCTTACTTGAATCCATTTGTTCTGTGTGGTTATGTGGTTTTGCTATTAAGTGATTTGGATCTCTTGGGTTTGTATGTTATAACTAGGTATGCAACTGCAAGCGCGCGGTCTGATGGCCTTCTTCTTCTCTGTGGTGGAAGAGATGCGAATAGCGTGGTAAGCCAATCTTTGCTGCCATGGTTTTCCCCTGTTTGTGCCATGGTTTTCCCCTGTTTGAAATTAGACATTTGCTTTGCATTGATGTTTTATCCCCTGTGTGTAGATTTAGGCATACATTGAAAATTAGAGTTTAAGAACTTCTTTGTCCGGTTTGATCTTTAGTGCTTAATATGTCTTTGTGTACCTCTGCATAATAGCCCCTAGCAAGTGCATATGGACTTGCCAAGCACAGAGATGGACGTTGGGAATGGGCCATAGCCCCTGGTGTCTCACCTTCTGCCAGATACCAGCATGCAGCAGTATGAGATGCTTCTTCTTTTCTTTTCCTTCTCTTATCTAGTTCCATCAGAAAAATTAACCTTTGTTGGAATTTTTTTAGGTCTTTGTAAATGCAAGACTACATGTCTCTGGTGGGGCACTCGGTGGTGGACGCATGGTAGAAGACTCATCCAGTGTTGCAGGTAAGCAAAAGGAGAGAAACAATCTCATGTTTCTGTTCAATGAGAGAATATCTAAAAAGATGAATATGCTATCTGTTATACTGAAGCATATTGTTTTTCTTCTATAATCATCTTCTTCTTAAGCTGCATCATTCTTCCCAAGGGGCTATATATGCCAAAATTTGATTTAATCTTTGAGATTCATATAAATCTATCTTACAGGGATTGTAAGAAATTGTTCACTCATCTAAAACTATTGTAGAGGGAGCTACAAAATTCTAATCGTAATAAATGGTAAATGCGTTCATGTAAAGCTTCTCTGACTGGTTCATGTTTTTTCGCTTTGTTCAGTGTTGGATACTGCAGCAGGTGTTTGGTGTGATACAAAATCGGTTGTTACTAGTCCAAGAACCGGTAGATATAGCGCTGATGCAGCTGGTGGCGATGCTTCTGTTGAACTGACAAGACGTTGCAGGCATGCTGCTGCTGCAGTGGGTGACTTGATATTTATCTATGGTGGTTTGCGAGGAGGTAACAAAACATGCTTGATGTACCATTACATGTGTATCCATGACCATGAACCATTTTTATAGTATCTGAGAATCCAACGATTCTGTAACTCTGGCATTATAGAATGTAGGATTACAGTTTAATATTTGTTGAAGTGTGGGACTTTATATTATCAACATTAGTTAGTTGAAACATTATAGATTTTATCTCTTCACCAAATATCAGGGCCATTGCTTCTTTCTTTTCTCTTTCTAGTTCAAATCATAGATGCAAAACTTAACAATATTCTATTGATGCTTCAGGAGTGTTACTTGATGACCTATTGGTTGCTGAAGATCTTGCCGCTGCGGAAACAACATCTGCTGCCTCTCATGCTGCTGCTGCAGCAGCAGCTACGAACTCACAACCTAGCCGTTCACCTGGAAGATACGGATTTTCCGATGAAAGGACAGGGGAGCTACCGGAATCAGCTCCTGACTCTGTTGTGTTGGGAAGCCCCGTTGCGCCGCCTGTAAATGGGGATATGTATACTGATATAAGCACGGAAAACGCAATGCTTCCAGGAACTCGGTTAGCGTTCTAAAGTTCTGTTTTGTCGTGTTGTTAGCGCGCCTGCATTCAAATATTTAACAAACAACATTGTAGGAGAACAAGCAAGGGTGTGGAGTATCTCGTCGAAGCATCTGCTGCAGAAGCCGAGGCTATCAGTGCAACATTAGCTGCTGCGAAGGCACGACAGGTCAACGGTGAAGTTGAACTTCCAGATAGAGACCGTGGTGCCGAGGCCACACCCAGTGGAAAACAATCTCCATCCTCGTTGATTAAGCCTGAGTCCGCGGTACCAAACAGTGTTATTCCTGCAGGGGTTCGACTACATCATAGAGCTGTGAGTCAAACTAACTATATTAAGTTTTAGGAACATATTTCCAAACATCATGTCTTTTCCTGTTACTAGTGTTGTACGTCTCTGATTATAAGTGCTAATACTTCTTTATTATTTCTTCAACTTTGTAAGGTGGTGGTTGCTGCAGAAACAGGCGGAGCCTTAGGTGGAATGGTTAGACAGTTATCGATTGATCAATTTGAAAATGAGGGACGCCGTGTTAGTTACGGCACACCCGAAAGTGCAACAGCCGCGAGGAAATTATTAGATCGGCAGCAGTCGATCAATAGTGTTCCGAAAAAGGTAAGAGATTCTTGCTCTGCAAGAAAGCTTTATGTTCCTGAATGTGGATTGAGAAGAACAGGTGTACATTTACTACATTTTTGCTTCAAAGATTGCTTTCTTGAACCGTTGTAGATCTATATTCTTGCTGTGGTACCAGTCATATGCTTAGTCTGATGAGAATACGAAATGTAGTGAGATATACTAGAGGTGTATTTGGAAAATTATTTGTAAAGATTGTAGTAGTACTGGATCTTGTGTATTGGATCTTGTGTATGGGATCTTGTGTATTGTTCAATAGTATTAGCCTATTAGGTGCTTAGAGGTTCCACTAGGTTGACTATTCAATGCCTTTCTGATGTAGTCACAACTCTGTTTTATCAGGTTGTAGCTCATCTTTTGAAACCTCGGGGGTGGAAGCCACCAGTTCGACGCCAGTTTTTCTTGGATTGCAATGAAATAGCTGATCTTTGCGACAGTGCAGAACGTATCTTCTCAAGCGAACCTACAGTGTTACAACTTAAAGCTCCTATTAAGATATTTGGTGATTTGCATGGTCAGTTTGGGGACCTCATGCGCCTTTTCGATGAATATGGGTCACCATCAACAGCTGGAGACATATCGTAAGTGTTCTCTAGTGCTATATGATTGTTACTTTCTCACTACTGTTGGTCTGACAATTGCTGATTGTGTATATTAATGGTTTTTTCAGATACATTGATTACCTCTTCTTGGGGGATTATGTTGATCGAGGTCAACACAGTCTAGAAACAATTACACTTCTGCTTGCGTTAAAGGTAGTTTTAAGAGCACACTATATTAGTGTTGTCTCTATTCTAGTATTATATGATATGAAAGGGTATGTATGACTGTTCGATGGTTGACACTTGCAGGTTGAATACCAACATAACGTACATCTAATCCGTGGAAACCATGAAGCCGCGGATATTAATGCGCTTTTTGGTTTCCGGATAGAATGTATTGAGAGAATGGTAAATGTCTCTAATTCTTGTGAGTCTTCTTCTTTTCCACTTTTAAGGGTCTCTCATGATGTTATGGCTACTTTTGCAGGGTGAACGTGATGGGATATGGGTGTGGCACAGAATTAACCGGTTATTCAATTGGTTACCTCTTGCTGCATTGATTGAGAAGAAGATTATCTGTATGCATGGAGGAATTGGTCGGTCGATAAACCATGTGGAGCAGATTGAAAACATTCAACGGCCAATAACTATGGAAGCTGGCTCAATTGTGCTTATGGATTTGCTATGGTTACTTCTAATGGCTATATCATTTTAGATGGTTCCTTTAATTATTTTTCTCACTAGTATGTCAAATTTGTAATATGTTAGGTCGGATCCAACTGAAAATGACAGTGTAGAAGGTTTAAGGCCTAATGCTAGAGGTCCTGGATTGGTTACTTTTGGGGTGAGTAGTCTTTTGTTCTTCTTTTTATTCCATACAATTCCCATTTCGTAATTGTTTTTGTTGGTTCTTGTTACTTAACAAGAAGTTTGCAATTATGTTGCAGCCTGATCGTGTCATGGAGTTTTGTAACAACAATGATCTTCAATTGATTGTACGTGCGCATGAATGTGTGATGGATGGATTCGAGCGTTTCGCGCAAGGGCATTTGATAACGCTCTTTTCTGCAACAAATTATTGTGGTATGTCTAAAACTCACTACTAAACCGGTGAAACAAAACTGATGTGATGATAGTCTCTTATGAAATAATATATTTGATTGTTTCTCAGGCACTGCAAACAATGCTGGAGCTATTTTGGTGTTGGGGAGAGATCTTGTGGTGGTTCCTAAGCTTATCCATCCGTTGCCTCCAGCAATTACATCACCTGAAACTTCACCAGAAAGACATATAGAGGACACATGGATGCAGGTTTATTTTTATTTACCACAAACAAAGTTTTAATCCTTTTCTTTTATACTCTTGAAAAAATGGTTTAACTTAGCATTTTGTTTTCAGGAGTTAAATGCAAATAGACCACCAACACCAACAAGAGGACGCCCACAAACTCCAAATGACCGTGGGTCTCTTGCGTGGATATAAACAAAACCCCCAAAGAGAAATTCGTGAGAGGTGATGACATGCTTCTCCCTATAGCTGCCTCTTGATGATGATCATCACATGTTGTGTACAGACCAAACCTAAACCGATCTTGAATCCTCATAGATCACACTGAGAATAATCGATGAGGGTTTTTAAGAATTTCAGAGATGACGTAAAGGGTGAAGAAGTCAGGTGGGATAGTTTTGGAGATGGTGAATAGTGAGGGAGAGATTATTTGTTGGGTAAAAGGGTATTGCTTATTTTTTGTTTTGTTTGTCTTCTATCTATTTAACTTTTTCTTAGTATTGATTTATATGTGGTATTGGGACACAAACATAAATGACTAGAAAAAGGGGGGAATGGTGGGGATCTTATAGGTTGTATTAGTTTTGGGGTGGTTTTGTGTATCATAGAGAGGTGTGTGAGCATTGTGTAATTTCTTTATTCGTACTGTCAGTTTGTGTTAATGATTCCCAAAATTTTCTCCCATTTTCTTGCATTTTTAATAGCGCGTATACACGCGGATATATGTTTTATTATATATTTTTGAATATATTTACTTCTTTGAACTATGTTAGTTGTAGGAAGAACCATCACTCTCGTGTTCTGTATAAAACAATCATTTACTTTTTGTATTGTATTTATTATACAAAGAATAAACAGAACTGTAAGAATAAGATATTTTATTTCAACACACGGTCTGTAATAAATCCATCCCATAAAGCCATGGACTCGATCTTTATATTCGCCATTACTTCGTAATCTGTTGAACGGTGCTGGCCAAAGAGTTGTCGAATTGCAAGTACAAAGAAACTTATAAGTGGAGAAAATTCAGATAAAGTGATTGACTTTGCAAAAATTATTATTTATAATAAGTTGTACTTCACATATAAGAATATTTTTCGAAATAAGAATACATAATTATTGATATTGGACACAGAAAAATATATATAGTGAATTCTTGATGATTATGAAAAGTTATTTAATAATTTTTTGTATCTAATAAGTATTTGAATATAAACTAATTATTAAGAAGATAAATGCAATGAACCACAATAATTATAGTTTATTATTGTGGCTAAAATTCTTAAAAGTTAACTAAGTAATTAAGTATAGAAACTGAAAAAACATATTATCATCAGATTCATCTTACACTACTATAAAAAGAAATATTTTTTTTTTTTTCCAACCAAACATCTCAAATTCTCTTTATTAATTCATGAAATGTTACATTTATATAAGGAAATTATAAATATTTATTTATCTGTACAACCAAAATGACTGCGCGGGTTTTATTTCATTTATCTTTTAACAAAGAATGTTTTATATGGTTTTTTTATATTTTGTGTTTTTATCAACTATGTAAATCATGCCAGTTAAGTTTTTGAATTTTTGAAATGATATTATGGAGCGTGTGTTTAATCTTCTTATAAATCATGCCAGTTAAAACATATAAGCGAGTAGTTTATGTGTGGTCTCCGGTATTTTTATTTTCATAGGTGTTCGACTCCTTGCTGCTGTAAGTAGGATAAAAGGTCAAAAAAATTGCTATAATAGATTTAGTGTTTCGTAATATTTGACATCCTGTTCAGAAAATTAGAAATGAGAGAAAAGAATTTGACGATAGAAACTATTATAATGTTTACTTATAAAACAATTGTCAAGAAGAAGCACGAATATACAATCTCATATACCACAGCAAGAATAGGGATTGTATAAGAATATTTACACTATTACAAAAACACCCTCTTGTAAGAGGTATCATAAAGCTTCCAATAGTTAATAGAAATTGTATAGCTCTACTCACTTGTCAAAATGGTCGTTTTGGTTGATAAAAAAAGCATTTTATAACGGCATTACTTTATATATAAAGAATGCAGATTAGAGTGCAATGTTTAACCATTCCACCGGGTTACTTTATATATATAATTTTTAGATGTGTTGAGTGGCACATATCATATTTTATTTGATATTTTGATGAAGTTTTCCAAAAGTTCTATATCATTTTCAGAAAGAAAAAAAATAGATATACGAACTTACACAAACCAAACCTTGTTTAATTTTTATGTGCTAAAGAAAAAGTCAATGAATATTCTATTCATCTACATTCATTAGCTTATTGTCTAATGATTTTGTTTCTCCAACTTCTTCACAAATGTTGTTGCTTTGATCATTACTTTCGTTATGTTGATCATCTTAGAAATTACAAATACCATGCGAAAACATTAGTAACTTGATTTATTATTTTCCCTACATTTATGTCCTCAACAACATCACCTTTTGTCATTCAATTATCCTTATTCCAATTGGAACAACGAAATTTATAGTGCGTTGCTTCATTTTGTTTGTTGTGTGCGGGTGTGCCCAAGTTCGTATCAAAACCCATGTGAATTTTTGTTGTTGTTGGTCAATTGGCGTTTACGAATCTGAAAACAAAAGAAGAAATGATGATGTTTCAGAAAATAAGAGACCATGTCGTTTTTAAAAATAAGAAACGACAGTTTGGAGTTCCGGTTCAAAGTCTTGTTTCACATCCGACGGTTTGATCTCGAATGATGTTCATGATCGAAAAAACTACCATCAAAGATACTTTTTGACCAGAAATTTTGACCGGTATAAAGTCTAAACCATTCACAAATCTCACACCACAACATCACTCTGATCCTAGATCCTACAATATATTCTTAAGATAATGTAACTTAAGGACACAGCTTGTGTCTCTTTCCCAAATTCAGCTTCAGCAATATCGATTCACATGTTTTCAAACAGTTGCTTTGAAGCACTCTTTCCAGCCTTTTCCCAATTTTATTCTTTTACCTTCAGAACGAAGATTCGTATGCCACAGTAATTCCATGTGTCTATGTGAAAGGTGCCAGAAGAAACTGCAACAAAGATCCATAAGGAAACTAATCCAAACTCACGAGAATGTTAAAAAGAAAATGACTTTGAGAGATGAAACTAACTCGTTAAGATCGTTTGACGTTATAAAGACGGAAGATTTATGTCACAAATTCGTTCTGGTATGGTAGAGGGTGAAGCTTTCCATGACAATCTAGGCTTCTTGAAGCTTTTCCCGTATTGGTAGCTCTCTTCTTCGCTGTTGGAATTTGTGGAAACAGACTCTGTTTCATCAGCGTTTGACTATTCTTCTTCTTCTAGTTCTGTAGCGAGACTTACATAGAACCAGAGTTCCTCCTCTTTTGATCAGTTTGAAAGTGTGAATAAATCTCCAGACTTTAGGCCATTGACAGTACAGAAAATTTTCCAGCCTCGTCCGATGTAAGTAACTCCACATCACTCTTGCTTTAGAAGCTAAAAGTTCATGATGTACCCTTTTCATTCATCAGAACAAATTCACCACGTCTTGTCTCTAGAACATTTGGTCTCAGAAAACAACTTCGAAGATTCTGGAAATTCATTACAATACAACATGCTTTTGATCAAAATCAGACATGATCTTCTTTTGTTCAACCTAAGAGTAGAACACCAGTGAGTCATCGTGTAGGGTCACATTAGCCACAGAAGAAGAAGAAGACTCTGATTCTCTTTACGGAATCCTCTTCTTTGGTATCTTATCTGTAAAAAAAAAAAAAAAAAAAAATCAATCACACATGCACATAGTTAAACTGATTCATCCTCTACTTCCTGCTCCATATTCCAAAATCAGCTTCAAAATTACTTGAGCACATTTCTTAAAGAGAGAGAAGATAACTCACCGAAACCATACTCAATCTCATAGCAACTATATTCGAACAAAGTGACGTGGTAAGTATTGTCTTTCTCTTGTCTGAAAATATCAATGTTGCCAATTCGAAGATCATGTGAGAGCAAACTCTTTCCAATCATTAGTGAGTCTCCGATCATCTTCTATCACCACTTCCCATGTTAAATTCTACGCATCTGATCTCAGCTTCGCCGTAGTCTTCTGGTAATTTCTTCCTCCAATATACTTTGAAAAGAAGGCTACAAGAATTTTCTGAAGCAACAACATGCATATACCAAACCATACCCATGCTTCTTAATAAGAACCTCATAGACATTTATATAAAATAGGAGAAAGAAAGAGTGAGAGAGAGTACCAAGTAGTTGTACAAATCGGGACGAAGTGTTTTGTGGCCATCCTCAGAATCTTCTGAAACCTGAAATCTCAATTCTACACTGCAAAACAATTTATTATTTAAAAACTGGTCCCAATTGAGACAAGAAGAACATGATTTGCCAAAAAATGTCGAAAACAATTAATGGAATCCAATTACCAGAGTTCAATCAGGAAAAATATTGGACACTTGAAGACCTAAAATCACAGAGAAGATAAGATATCGCCGTGTTCGTTTTATGGTCAAAAACGAACGAAACCATATGTTGAATCTATGGAAGGAAAACAAAAATTGAGTATTATGCAGAGTCAGAAAACGATGGGTTCGAATGATATGTCAACTGAATAACAGAATAACGGAATAGCTGAATTATAAAATAGTGGAATCATAGGAATGGAATTATAAAATAGCGGAATAATAAAAAATAAAATTTCACAATGATAGAATGTTGGAATGGTATGTTTTTGGCTGAATAACTGAATAATAAAATAAATAGTACTAAATTACCAAACTAAACATTAAATGTAAAAGTAAAAAATAATTTAAATGAATTTATAAAATAGTTATGTCCTATAAATTCAAAAAAGAATAATCAAAGCTCAAATTATCCCAAACAGAACAAAAAAAATCAAATATAACAATTAAAACAAATGAAAAAAAATTTGAGAAAATATTCTGAAACTAAAAAACTCCTACGCTTCCATATTCCATAAGTGAGATGCAATCTGTTGACGAACGGTCTGCATACTTACGTCCTCTTCTTGCTCATGAACATTAGTATCACTTCTTCCTGTGTTTTCATGACCATTGATATCAAATCTATCTGCTTTTCCAAAATCTTGATATGGAATTTGAGATCGCCGTATAAAGTTGTGTAAACCCATCATAGCTGCAACAATTTTCTTCCTAAGTATGATTTTTTGGTAATTTTTTATCAACTATTATTCCTAAGTATGATTTTCATCAACTACTTTGAACACAATAAAATAATTCTCGATGTCTTAAAAGAGCAAGTTAAGAAATATACTTACATCACCAAAGCCACGAACTTGTGAATCTGACTCATCAGACGAACTCATGATGCAATTGGAAATCTGCAGTTTCATAGATCGAGAATAGTTAATATGACAGCTTGAATTCAACTAAGTGTTTTATTACCTTAATCCTAAGTCCATAATTCGTAGCTATTGAGGTGCACATGCCATCATAATAGCAAATCTAATAGAAACAAAAACGAAAAAAAACTACCTTCTCAGTTGACTGCGTTCCATCTATCACATATATATATGTCTATAGCTAGGTTATTGATAGCTTAAGTAGAAAGATGGCGGTAAAAGATGGCGGGATGTAATCTGGCGCTAATATATAGAGGCAAAACTAATTATTAATTTATTATAATGAAAAATAAAATTATGATTTATTTTAGAGTAAAAATGATTAACAAAAAAATTAATTACTTTGAAACGCCAAAAAGCTGCTCTTAAGTAGATGAATGAAGTTTTGTGTAAACTAGTTATAAATATAAAACGTGCAGGATAGTTTTGAAAAGCACTTGTTAATTTTTAATTTTTATCATTCCGTGCGTGTTGTCGTGAATGGTATGTTTTCAGCGGAATCACGTTTTCAAAACGTGAAAACGTGAAAAAGCTGCATACCATTCAACACCGATATCAATTTGTCATGAACTTTAAAATTAAAGTTTTACCCATAGCTTGCTGAGAAATAATCGATCAAAATGCCTTCAAAGAGTGTTTCGCCTCTTACTCGGAGAAAGACGATCAAACAATTCCCAATCATGACCCTTGCGTGTGTAATGAGAAAAAAAGAATTTGGAGTCACAAAAAGATTCGAAATAGAGGAGGAGGGTCCGAGAACGCATAAAAAACAGAGAAGCATGATGGATATGCGTCTGATGTGAAATTTTTATTGGTTCTTAAACATAAGAGAGAAGCACGTGTCCTTTTCTCTTATGTTAAACTTATTGCCTGAATCCAGAAACAAAAGATCCAAATCTGAAACCGTGTTTTCCCTGTTCTTGTTGGACTACAAAAAATTCGAACCCAATCACCAGAGATCTCTCTCTCCCCAATTCATAACGCTTCAATTCTGCACATTCGTAGAAGACACTTTCTGGCTTTTAAACTCATTGAAGTAAGAGGCAGATGAAAAGCCAGGAATCGGAAAGAGGTTCGTAGATTCATAAACGTAATCGTCAAAAACTTGAAGGCGAAGAATCCGATGAGATCGATAATTTTTTTTCTTTTTTATGATTTGTTTTAATAGAAAAGCTGAAGTGTCATGGAAGAGGGTGCTGACGTATCATCTCCTTGTGAGACACCCAATCTTTATATAATAGATTGTTTTCTCTTCACTTACTTTGCTATAATTTATAATTCCGATCATTGACACTTGGCATCTGATTATTTCTAAATTGGTTGCGTAGTTGCACGAGTCAATGACATCTACGTAGATAAGTACGCTTTTTTCTTTTTTTTTTTGTAATCTGGGTAGTATTTGAAATGTTTACGGATTCAGTTTACAAATTGAATAAAATTACTTGGAATGCAACCGGCCAACCAAGGGCAGAACTCCATCACCAAAATTCCGTAGACAATAGGGAAAACATAGAAACACTTAACGCCTATGCATCCACACATAAGTTGTCATAACCGAGACAATTAGGGGCTGTATTGAAACTAAAATTATAAAAAATTTGAAAATATTTGAATTTTAATGAAATTTTAGATAATATTATGTGGATTGAGAAAGTTGATATGATTTGATATTAAAATTATATGAAATCTCACCTAAAATAATGTGATTTGGGTTTCTATATTTTTAACTAACAAATTCCACTAAATTGTCTAAAAATACTCAATATTTTTTTAAATCCACTATTCAAAATATTTTCAATAACATTGGATTTGATCTAGTTTTATAAATTGTTGACTGAATAACATGGATTTTGAAATGATTCTAGTTACTTTACATAAATTTCATGTTTAATAACATCAATTTTGGTGAGACATTTAGAAATTACTAATTCAATAACAGAGATTTTTAATAAAAACCATCAAATCTTCTGAAATTCTTAATCCAATACACCCCCTTAATCAGAGACTATTTGCAATACTGTATATGACTGACTGACTGTAATCTTAACTCCATCGTAACACTTTTAGCAATGAGACAAGTCTTTCTAATAAGGCCCGACTCTAACAAAAACTGGGCCCTGCGGTAGATTTTCCAAAATATCAAACTTAGTTGCACAATTTCAAAAAAATTGGATCCTCAATTTTCAAAAAAAATTTAGGGTTCTAAAATGTAATAAAAATAGATGAAAAATGATGGGACACTGTGCAAAAGCACTGCTGGCACACCCTTAAAACCAGACCTGCTTCTAATTATACTAGAGACGACCATTACTAATTCCCAATCCACATAATTTGATAGGATTAGAAGAAGTTCTGATACCTGAAACGCAAAAGATGGCCATGCTCTACACCTATTGACAACGCTCATTAATAAAGCCGTCTCAGATCCAAAATCACCTTTGTCATTCTATGACTTTGCATGCTTTTTACAGCCTATAAAAAACTCAAGAAATAACAATCATCGTACATATCAACCCCTCCAAAATCTCTTTGAGTATAAAGCAAAACAGTCCTCTTCCAGTCTTTGAGAATCCACGCCATTACTGTCATTCTCTTTGGCTTAGACCAAGTTGCACCTACATCACATTTAAGCCAAGTTCCGGTGGTTGTCTCCACCGAGTAGTCACCACGGACACCACGCCTCTGTCTTGAAAATCAGCAATCATCGAAACAGATTGAGCTAAACACCAACAATTTCTTTCATCTATATTTTTTTTTCATCGATTTCATCGGGAAAAGATTTTCCCTTCAAAGAGATAGGAATTTCTTCTTTTTTTTTTTCAAATGTATGTTAACTTTCCTGAAGTTCCAACCCAAAACCAATTGTCAGTGGGTGGATTGGCCCAAGTCCCTTATATAATAGTCAAGGTCTCTCCCAACTTCCAATGTGGGACATATCTTACACACACTCTCTACAGATTAAGACTTTATAGCCCATTAACCTCTACATTATCCAATACTCTCCCTTGAGATAACGGCTCTTCTAGCCATTAATCTCGTAGACCATCACTTTTGGGTCGAGGGGCAGGGCCACTTTTTGGGCCAGAAATAAACCCTAATCAAAAGACCACTTTTAGGCCAGAGTTACGAGAGTGTGCGGATCGGGCTCTGATCTATGTTAAGTTTCCTGAGCTTCCAACCCAAAACCAATTAGCAATGAGTGGATTGGCCCAAATCCCTTATATATTTGTCAAGGTCCCTCCCAAACTTCAGATGTGGGACATATCTTACACACACTCTCTAGAGATTTATGTCTTGTGGTCCATTAACCTCAACTTATCCCAATACTCCCCCTCGAGATAATGATTCTTCTAACCCATGACCATCAATTTTGGGTCGGGGGGCCAAGGCCACTTCTGGGCCGGACAACGAGAGTGTGTGGATTGGGCTCTGATACCATGTTAAGTTTCCTGAGCTTCCAACCCAAAACCAATTGACAATGAGTGGATTAGCCCAAGTCTCTTATATATTAGTGAAGGTCCCTCCCAACTTCCGGTGTGGAACATATCTTACACACACTCTCTAGAGATTAAGACTTTGTGGTCCATTTACCTATACTTATCCCAATAATGTACCACAACATCCAGGGGAAACATCTATTAATTCCATCTGGAATATGATTTGAGCCCTCCAACGAGATAAGATGAAAAAAGGCATAGGTGAAGGAGTTAACAAACCCTAAACTCAGTGAAGGGATATATGAAAGAGCCCACATTTGTTTTGCAAGAACACATTGAAACAAGACATGATCAATCGATTTACCCTCATGGCTGCACAATTGGCATGTCAAATCAATCCTCATCCCACTTTTGATATTGTATCAACCACCGTAATGGCCCTATTAAGCATTCTCTACAAGAAATCTTTTTATTTTTAGCAAAGTCTTTATGGCCTATACCTTTTCTTTAAGGTAATTCAGAGATGGTTGCACCAACTCGTGTCTGATTAGCTCCTCATTCTGAAGATTTGAAATCATCCAATATCATGATTTTACCGAGTATTACCATTCTTGTTGAATTTTCATTTCCAAAATCATCAGTACGGGTCGCTAGAGTTTGTTTTAGTATTGTGACAACATCTTCTCAGACAAAAACCTTCTCAAGCCTGCTTCTTTTCCATCTTCTACTTCTACCATCAATGAAAGAATCCACTTTAAGGTTTAGATCAAAGAAATAGTTTCTTCTCCACGGAGCCCCCTCTCATCAATATCTAACCAGGGATCCATCCAGAAAAATCAAACAAATATGAATCTTAGTTTAGACGAGCAAGGAATGACTAAGATAATGTAGGAGAGAGTATTCCTCTCAGTGCTATGTTGGAACTATTTTTGGACAAATGATATTGGCCAATATTCAGGTAGTTTTTCCCGGCAACTTGTTTTTCGGAATGACTGGATCATAAAGTCGTTGTATTCTTTGTTGTGAACACTAATAACATATTCATAAAAGAAGTTCAGTTTGAAAGAAAAATAAATATCCAAAATAGATTGTTTATAAAGTTTAAAATGTAATATTTGTAGAATATCCTATATTAGAAACATGAGGTGAAATCCTCTTGTATATAAAGTAACAAATATATAATAAGATTGAACAATTTAATATATTGAAAAATAATATATTCACGCTAGGCTCAGATTTCAGAACTAGGCAAATAATATTTTATTTTGTTTTGCTCAAATTCATTGTTTGATTAAGTCAACAATGCATAATATCTCATTTTAGTATTGTAATAACACAAATACAGTTGACTGATTTTGTAATATTTTAATCTTAACTTTAATAAGAGAATGAATTCTCACATTGATCACATAATGATAAATTCAAAGTTGATTTCTTTTTTATAACATACAAATCTAATTAACAATATTATGGGTGAATCAAAAACGTCACTTTATGGCTTTTGTTGAGCAATTGAATTATAAAAGAAAGATATCATTTCATTGTTCAAATCAT